GTCTGGCATACATGTGACTCCAGACCCACAGCAATGTGGTTGACTCTTACCTGCCCTCTAAAATGGCTGAGCAAGCCCCCGACTAGACAAGCAACAGCCTGACATAGTCATACTCACAGAATCATACCTTACAGACAATGTCAGGCTGTTGCTTGTCTAGTCGGTGAGACAGCTCTCCCAATGTTGGCACTAACCCCCAGATGCTGGTGAGGCAGACTTTGCGGGTTCAACAGGGCTGTTTCTGCCGCGGTCTTTTCCGATGCCTAGGTCGATGCCAGGTGATCCGTCCAGTTTCATTTCTTTGAGGCTTTGTAGCGATTGGTTCAACTGAGGGGCTTGCTCAGCCATTTCAGAGGGCAGGTAAGAGTCAACCACATTGCTGTGGGTCTGGAGTCACATGTAGGCCAGACCAGGTAAGGACTCCAGATTGGGTTTTTCTGACAATCGGCAATGGTTTCACGGTCATCAGTAGATTTTTAATTCCAGATTTTTTTTAATGAATTCAAATTCCACCATCTGCTCTAGCAGGTTTTGAATCCAGGTCCCCAAAACATTACTGAATTTCTGGATTAATAGTCTAGCGATAATATCTCTACCTCTCTTGTGGAAACCTGGAAATGCACTGCCTGGGAGGGATGGGATGAAGCAGGAAACTTCACAATCTTTAAAAATAACTTTGATGAGTGCTTGAAGTGTCGTAACATTCCAGACTATGGCCTGCTGTGGGAAAGTGGGCCTGGTGTGGATTTAGAGTAGCGTTGGTGGTGCAGACTTAATGGGCTGAAGGGCTTCTTGTGTATTCTATGATTCCGAGACTCCTGGCAGACCCAGGAGAGGCAACACCTGTCCATTCACCCTGAAACAAGATTGGAGACTGAGCCAGCACAAAGTCCTTAGACCATTTCAGGATGATATTAGGACATTTGGTGAAATCCAAGCATAAAAGGTTTGGATGATGTCAAACTGATGGAGGGCAGAATGTGGGAGACATGTTTGTTACGAATGTGCTGGAATAGAGTTACCAAAGGCATGAAGAAGGAGTTTCGCAACAGATGAATGGAGGCAGGCATGCATGGCATAGTGGAGGCTGAAACAGGCGATGACACAAATACACAGTCAAAATGACACCAAGTCTGTAAACAATGTTCAGCCTGAGAGAGGGATTAGTTTGTGGCAGAGATCACCAAATGTAACCAGGTGAAATTTCTGCTCATCCTGCGTGGAGCCTCGAAAAAGCCGTCAAAGTTGTCAGAGCCAGTGGAGGTGTGCAGAGCTGGTGATTAGTAGAGCTGGGAACTACTCTATATGTACAGGGCCTCTGATGTTAGGGCAGTGACTAACTGTCCAGCTGATCCCAGCCCATTGCCCCAGTTCACCTCAGATTCCAGACAAACCTTTGGAGCTCCGATCGCCTGGGACAGTTCATTCTGTAGGTGATCTAAGGCAGTCTGAAAATCCTCCCACAGGATTGTCACTCCAGCCGTGCATAAATCCAACTCTTGCTCCACACTCAGGGCAGCTCCTGGAAAACTGAAAACAAAAGTGGGACAGAGACGTTCAATGTGGGAAGATTTCTTTTTATTTTTTCATGAGATGTGGGTGTTGCTGGCTCGAATATGGGGCCCATCCCGAATTGTCCTTAAACTGAGTGGCTCGCTGGGCCATTTCTGAGTCAACCACATTGCTGTGGGTCTGGCGTCACATGTAAGCCAGCCCAGGGAAGGATGGCAGTTTCCTTCCCACCTTGTAATCCCCACTCAATCATTACCATCAAGCCAGGGGATCAACCCTGGTTCAATGGACCGTAGAGGAGGGTATGCCAGGAGCAGTACCAGGGAGACTTAAAAATGAGGTGACAACCTGGTAAAAACTACCAAACAGGACTACTTGCACGCCAAACAGTGAAAGCAGCAAGTGATAGACAGAGCTAAGTGATCCCACAACCAACAGATCAGATCTAAGTTCTGCAGTCCTGCCACATCCAGATGTCAATGGTGGTGGACAATTAGACAACTCACTGGAGGAGGAGGCTCCACAAATATCCCCATCCTCAATGATGGAAGAGCCCAGCACATCAGTGCAAAAGATAAGGCTGAAGCATTCGCAGCAATCTTCAGCCAGAAGTGCCGAGTGGATGATCCATCTCGGCCTCCTCCAGTGGTCCCCAGCATCACAGATACCAGTCTTCAGCCAATTCGATTCACTCCACGTGATATCAAGAAACGGTTGGAGACGCTGGATACTGCAAAGGCTACGGGCCCTGACAACATTCCAGCAATAGTACTGAAGACTTGTGCTCCAGAACTCACCGCTCTCCTAGCCAAGCTGTGCCAGTACAGTTACAACACTGGTATCTACCCGACAATGTGGAAAATTGCCCAGGTATGTCCTGTACACAAAATGCAAGACAAATCCAACCCGGCCAATTACCGCCCCATCAGTTTCCTCTTGATCATCATTAAAGTGGTGGAAGGTGTCAGTAACAGCACTATCAAGCAGCACCTGCTCAGCAATAACCTGCTCAGTGACGCCCAGTTTGGGTTCCGCCAGGGCCACTCAGCTCCTGACCTCATTACAGCCTTGGTTCAAACATGGACAAAAGAGCTGAATTCCAGAGGTGAGGTGAGAGTGACAGCCCTTGATATCAAGGCTGCATTCGACCGAGTGTGGCATCAAGGAGCCCGAGCAAAACTGGAATCAATGGGTATCAGGGGCAAACGCTGCGGTGGTCGGAGTCATACCTGACACATAGGAAGATGGTCGTGGTTGTTGGAGGTCAGTCATTCCAGCTCCAGGACATCTCTGCAGGAGTTCCTCAGGGTATTGTCCTAGACCCAACCATCTTCAGCTGCTTCATCAATGACCTTCCCTCCATCATAAGGTCAGAAGTGGGGATGTTCGCCGATGATTACACAATGTTCAACACCATTCATGACTCCTCAGATACTGAGGCAGTCCATGTTCACATGCAACAAGATCTAGACAATATCCAGGTTTGGGCTGGCAAGTGGCAAGTGACATTCACGCCACACAAATGCCAGGCTATGACCATCATCAAGAAGAGATAATCTAACCACCACCCCTTGACATTCAATGGTGTTACCATCACTGAATCCCCTACTATCAATATCCTGGGGGTTACCATTAACCAGAAACTCAACTGGACTCACCTCATAAACACAGTGGATACAACAGCAGGCCAGAAGCTGGGAATACTGTGGCAGGTAACTCATGTCCTGACTTCTCAAAGCCTGTCCACTATCTACAAGGCACAGGGCAGGAATGTGATGGAATACTCCCCACTTGCTTGGATGGGTGCAGCCCCAACAACACTCAAGAAACTTGATACTTTCCAGGACAAAGCAGCCGCTTGATTGGCACCACATCCATAAACATCCACTCCCTCCACCACTGACGCTCAGTAGCAGCAGTGTGTACTATCTACAAGATGCACTGCAGAAACTCACCAAAGATCCTCAGAACAGCACCTTCCAAACCCACAAACACATCCATCCAGGACAAAGGCAGCAGATACATGGATACCATCCTTGCAAGTTCCCTTCCAAACCACTCACCATCCTGACTTGGAAATATATCGCAGTTCCCTCAATGTTGCTGAGTCAATATCCTGGAATTCCCTCCCTAAGGGCACTTTGGGTCTGCCTACAGTTTAAGTGGGCAGCTCACCAGCACCTTCTCAAGGGGCAGTCAGGGACAAGCAATAAATGCTGGTCAGTCAGTGACACCCACATCCCACAAATGAATTTAAAACTGAACCAGATGATTTTTATGACAATCTGCGATGGTTTCGTGTTCATCAGTAGATTCATAATTCCAGATTTTTTTTTTTTTAAACTGATTTCAAATTCCATCATCTGCCGTAATTCTATGAGGATTGCAACAGCCTTCACAGTTTCTATCCAGCCTTCCCTCGGTGTTGAATAAGATAAAGAGAATGAGTAAGACTAGGTACAAATGTAATTGAAAGGGGGAGAAAGGAGGTGGGGGAGGCAGTGAGACCATTCCCCTCGCCAAAGGCGCTGACACTCTCTCCCCCTTCATCCCCTGAAGGTGCTGACCCTCTCTCTCCCCCGTGAAGGTGCTGACCCTCTCTCTCTCTCTCTCTCTCTCTCTCTCTCTCCCCCCCTCCCCTGAAGGTGCTGACCCTCTCTCTCTCTCTATCTCCCCTCTTTAGGTGCTGACCATTTCTCGCTCTCCCCTGAAGGTGCTGCCCCTCTCTCCCTCTCTCTCCCTTCCCCCCACCAAAGATAATCATTCACTCATTTTCTATTTGGGCAGTGTCTGCTCACTGTCAGTATCAGCCACAAACGTATTAAATGGTGTAGCAGGCCCAAGGGGCTGAATGGCCTCTCCTGCTGCTTGCTCCTATGTTCCTGATGGACAGATCTCTTTGCTGTGCGGCGACAGAACGAGGGTTACTTACCAGGTAGCCTTTAAGCGGCTGCAGGCTGCATGGCTAGCATGGTTCAGCAACGCACACAGGTCACTCAGCAGATAACCCTGGGAATAGATAAAGCATTGTCACAAACACCAACACCACAGGCTCTACAACACTATCAGGGTACTAACACTCAGCTCAGTATCACACCTCTAGCCCAGTACTGATCCAATCCACCCTGCATGCAGTTCTCAAAGGCACACCAATCCTGACCAGTTGAATGAACTTTTCCACCCAAGCTGATGAAAGGAATGCAGCAGATGTTATCTATGTGAAATTTAAAAGGCGTTTGACCAAGTTCCATGTAAAAAGACGATGAACAACATTGAGGTTCATAGAACAGGAGTATTAGTGTCCATACAAGTTAATGGTTTGAGACTAGGAATAAAGTGAGTTTTGTCAGATTTTCAGACTGGAGGGTGGTGGAATATGGAGTTCCCCATAAGTCAGAGATAAATCCGTTACTAAGTCACATTCATACCACTGAATGATTTGGATATTGGAACGCTGGGAAAAATGTCAATATTTGCTGATGATTACTAAAGTTGGAAGACTGGCAAATAGCAAAATGTGATGCAAACCAGCTGGAACAAGACAAGATAACTTAGTAGAATAGGCAGACAAGTGAGAGAACGAATTGACTATGGGAAGGTATGTTCTGGCACATTTTAGTGAAGTACAGAGAGGTGATAGTAACTTCATGGCAGAGCTAAAAGATGACAGGAGCAGAGAGATCTGGGAGCGCACGTGCATCAATTTTTGAAGGAGACAGGTCATAGGTCATAAAGCCTGTACTGGCTCGGTCCCCCGGTCAGCCCGTACCGGCTCGGACCCCCGGTCTGTTTGTAGTAATGAAGTGACGGTGCCAAGTGCTCCTTTCTGGGATACTCACAGCTGTTAACTTGGCGAGCTTGGCCAGGTTGACATCCTTGCCCAGGGGGAGCTCTGTACTGAGTGCTGCCATGATGAGTTTCCTCTGGTCCTCGGAGAGACTCTCCATTCCCAGGTCATGGAGAAACAGCGTCTGGACATCAGGAAAGAGGTCCTGCAGCCGGCCCACTGTCCCAACCACCACCACTGGGTACTCACTGAAACCAAGGAGAGAAACACTCAGACACTACATCAGTCAGTAAGATAATAGTGTATCAACTGGGAGAAATAAGCCACTCGACCCCTTAAACCTGCTCTGCTATTCAACAGGATCAGATCTGATCTGCTCATGCTTCGAATTCCATATTCCTATATACCTTGCTAGTCCTCAATCCCCTGCCCAATCAGAGTCCATCTCCTTCAGTGAGCCCACCTTCTGATGTTCCACAGTCACACAATGCTGAAAGAGACCCTTCATTCTAAAACAGTGCCCTCTCGCTCTAGACTCACCCACAAGAGGAAATACCCTTTTCACATCCACCATTCAGAATCTTGTCACCTCTGACCCTTCTAAACTCTAGTGGAAACAAGCCCCATCTATCCAACCATTCCTCATAAAATAAACCACTCAGATAATGAACCTCCTTGGAATGGCCTCCAAAGCATCTACATCCTTCCTTAAA